GCTCGGGCCCTGGAACCTTGGCTTGGGCTTTCTCCGTTCCTCGCGCCCTTCTGTTGCTGCAGTTTATGGCCGTCATTACCTCGATCGGGCACCGGCTTCGATTAAACGATTTGTTCGTGTGCACGGTCCACTTTACTCGCTCCTCGTTTCATTTCGGATTGTCGATGTTTTCTTCCTTTTCTCTTCCCTTCCCCTTTTTTCGTTGTTGTCCTCGCGCGATTATCGCGCCGCGAGTGCGTCGACGTTATGCTAGACGAGTTGGATTTTTGGCAATTTCGAAGTTTCGACGTTTCCGAGGCCTTAGAAATTTCGAGGTTCTGCGACTTCTGAGGCTTTAAGAGTGAGCAGGCTTTTTGGGAAATTCGAGATTTCGGGATTTTCGAGATGTTCTGGTAATCTCGAAGTTTTGGACTTTTCGAGGCCTTAGAAATTTCGAGGTTTCGGGACTTTTGCGGCGTTAGTAGTGAGCTGGTGTTTTGGGAATTTCGAGGTGTTTTGACAATTTTGAAGTTTTAAAGTTTTCGAGGTTTTCGACATTTCAAAGGTTAGGGAATTTTTTTAAAGATTGACTGAGTGTTTGTTGGATGTTAGAATTGTAAGTTGTCTGCTATAAATAATAATATTTTGAGTTATTAATTTCTTAATGGCATTTGTTAGTAATTTATTTTTTTATACAAATAGACCTGATTTAATTTGAAATGATGCATTTATTATATTGTAAGGTAAGTAATGACATGTTATTGTTATGAGTAAGAAGAAGCTATTTGTAGTCAGTTTAAATCCAACATCGATGCTACAGTGTTTCGTGGAACTAACGGTAAGAACATATTGAATATAATTGAAATTGTTCGTGTTACAACTGGATGGTAATATTTGCGCAATTTTAACTTAAAGCAGGCTAGTTGCGGCAGTTTGACTCGTAACAAGGATGCAAGACACGTGAACCCAAATGACCCAACATCTAATGGGTCCTTGGGTATTCTTCCTCAGAATGGCGTGTACGGGAATCCCGAACAATCCTTGGAAACGATCACTCTATAGTCGTAAAAACATAAAACACATGTTGCCGGAGAGAATGCAGGTAAATGTGGAAAGTTTCTCCTTGAAATTTCTAATTTTTGACAACGGTACAGTCTTTCTTCCATTCACGTCATAAATTACTGTATTCTTTACTTAATGCTTCTTTAATTAATTAAATAACATAGTCTTTAACTAAGAACTGTGTTTATATATAACAAATATTCAAGTAGAACGCAGAAATTCAATTAATAGAAAGTAAACGGTCACTCGAAAGACAATAAAAGTCGACTGATCTATATTATTATGTACGATTTAAATTTTAGTAACACGATATTATATCGTTTAGTAATAACAGCTATTAATTTACACTCTATGCATATTTGGTTACGCTTTCTAGCGTAATTTTACAGCGTCATTTCATTTATACCGAATCACCTTTTAAGGGAAATAAATAGATCTGCTCAGCACCATTTTTAGTAATTCCTCCTTTTCCTAACTTACTCAGTTAACTGTTCTTTTATTGAATCTTAGTCCATATAAGTATATACTATGCTATGTTCGTATTCCATACAAAACGTTGATCATATTAATTCTGTTCGCCTTGAGCTCCATCTTCGCGAGCCTCCATAAGAAAAGCTTTCAATCTACACGAGAAAACGAGAAAACTAACCTATATATTTCATCTACATAATTTACAATAAAACTACTAAACGTTCAAATCACTTAATTCACATTTCCTCGAACAAACTAGAAAAATGTATTCCTCAAGATCCTCGCCAATTCCGTCAACCTATTTCAATAATCAATCACACAAGCAAAACGAACGACTAATTGCGATCGTTCGCCAGCAAACCAATCTTTCCATAATTCCAACTAAGAACTCCCTTATCAAACAGTATAACATTTTATCAAACAGTTTCAAGATCAAAATTCCAACTGATCTGCTAACTGCACTGTCAATTACGCGCTGATGCATCTTAATAAATACCTCTCTCGCCGAGTCACTGCCCAAGTCAAAAGGTTAATAATCCTGAAAAAAGAAGAGCATTTCGTTCGTCTGCCTCCACGCCCTACAAGTATACCAAGCCATGAATTAATAAACTCTGGGGATCAATTTCCACCGAGATACGGGAAGCAGAGGAGAAAAAAGTCGACGGGGAGCAGAAGCAGGCGCGAACGGCAATCCGCGCCGCGGCTCCCTTAATGCAGGATGCATCAAGGGAAATTGCAGCCCGCACGATTTCCACCGCGTTAACATTCGCCTATCGATCCCGGGACTCGCGAGATTCTCGCCTCTAATCATATCGTGGGCAAACGTCTTCCTCGATGTTGCTCACCGTACCGTGAACGACGATCAGCCGCGCGACTTCTCCAAGATCCACCTGGGATTGCGCTTGACCCCCGCGCCGGATTCTCTGGATCGTTTTGGATCCACCCGGGAGCTTTATAGAACATGATCATTGCTCGTGAAACCAACCGTCGAATTAACACGTTCGCTACCAGCGTCGCATGCTCGCGATCGTTAATGTTTCGTATTTTGTGCGAAGAACAGTAAAGTACATTCACGTCTGTTTTCATCTAATATCGTAACGCATGGTACAATGTACAGGAAGTCTGGGAGATTTTTCATTGATATTTGTGTTTTGTAAGGAGTCTATGGTTTATTTAATAAATTGTAACCACGGAGACTATTATTGCAAGAAATCTGGGTAGAGAATGTTATTAGTCATCGACTGTTGAGGTAATTGATAGAGAATGTGTGAATATGTTATCTCTTTTATAGTAATGTGATTTTTTAGAGATAGGTTCCCTATGAGCATGTGTTTTTATGATAGCAAAGACAGAATTTTCTATTTATCTATATTTGTAGTGTGTGATCTATATTTTGAAGTTGATAGTTCCATTAACATGATGGGACATTTATTAATTCTATTTGAAGTAGTAAGAAAGTATTACAGTGTTCTACGTCAGTCGATCATTCTCCGAGACAAAATCTAAAAGTACAACTTGCAGTAAAAATCCTTCTTCTTTTACTAAACAATTAACGACAAAACAATCTTTTACAACAAAAATCCTCCGACAATTTTCACCGACATAAAGTCTTCAAAATAAGCAAAAACCACCTCATCAAATTTACATTCAATAAACCCTGAAGCCACACCAAACAATCGAATATTCACGGTCAGTCGTTGCAGCTAAGGGATGAACGATACTGCATCGAATTAACAGTTCGGTTCGATCTGGGCCGATCGGTTCATCACGAGCCTCACGAACGAATTGTCTGGATCGTGCACCGAGAACGTGTTCCGGAAAAGGAGAAAGCCCCGAACGGGATTCGCGGGATTCGGC